TCATGTGTATTTTTCCATACTTTTCTGTAATATATGTGTCTGTTTTGCAGCTAATGAGTCTGGAGAGACTCCTTTGGACATCGCTCGCAGACTCAAACACATCCAGTGTGAGGAACTGGTGAGTACCACATGACACATTGGACTCCTCTCAGTGAGTAAACTCATCTGTCCTCCTGTCTGTCTACTCGCATGCAGCTGAACCAGGCACTAGCGGGGAAGTTCCATGGTCATGTTCATGTGGAGTATGAGTGGTGTCTGTGCCATGATGACCTGGATGAGAGCGATGAGGACTTGGATGAGAAGGTGAGAGACCTGATCATGTTAGGTCACAGTTACTTCAATTTCTTTGTTGTGATTCCTGTATTACCTGTGTGGAACAGCCCAGCCCGCTGCGCAGAGAGGACCGCCCCCTCAGCTGTTACACCCCCTCCAGTGCTCGCGATGGACTCAAGGACAAGCACAGAGCCTTCATGGTCAACAATGAGACCTACGGCACTATCCTGAGCTCTAACGCTCAACTCGGACTGCCCTGTACTGGGTCCGCCCCTCCACTACCACCAAGGAACCTGGGTATGCTAGAAAACTATACAATACTATATACAACACAGTATGCATGTACTTACAATAAGACACAACCTTTTTAACGAGAGCATTGCTTTTGTTGAAAGAGCAAATAGTATGTGAGTAGATTTTTTACAGACTTGAATGAAACGCTCATTTCTGTTTTTCAGTTCAGTTGCCTGGTTTGGGAGGGACAGCTCAAACATCAGCACCCAACTGGAAGCCCAGTACTTTAGACATGTGTGGGCGACAGAGGTCATCTTCAGACCCCCCCAACATGCACCCTCCTGCTCCCCCCTTTAGACTCGTCTCAGCTGGAGGTGGGAAACCCTTTGTACTGCTGTATTATTCCAGCATTCACGGTAGTATGTTATGTTTTAAATCACCTTTGTGTTTCAGGACTAACGTCCTCTGTATTAAAGTCTAAGTCGGGCTCTAGAGCAACACCTCCTCGCTCGTCTGCGAGGTAAGTATATTTACAGCGTCTCTCACTTACCTGATGACAAATTTGTGTAACAGTGTGCACTCTGACAAAGAGAACACAACTGGCCCTCTGCCACTGCTCACTTCAAAGGCTCAGTGGCATTTTGATCTTGATTTCTGAAAAGAGCTTACCTTTTAATGAATTCTAGTTGCCCAGAATTGTAAAGAAAGGCAGGAGGCTGTGGATGTAAACTCAACATAAAATGATTCAGTATTGCTCATTTAAGCCTGGCCATACTTCTTGAAATTGACCCCATTGTTTTTGTATGTTTTTAGTGACGACTAATGTAATTGTAGAGAAATATAATGTTTTTTTCTGTTTTCAGATATGACAAAGGTTTCATCCGTGGACCTCCTGCTCAAAGTGAATCTTCTGAAAGACTAGGTGAGTAAACCACGCAACTAAATGGCAGCTCATTCTGCCCACTGCGCAGAATGTCTTCCTGTTTGACACAGAGAATGGGAAGCCTGTTTATTGTCAAACGTGATGTCACTGCCTCTTCCTGTTCCAGCAAAGGAAGTGCCTGGCTGCCCTCAGAACTCCAGTGGTCAGTCTCAGGGGCCAACGCACAGAAAGGCCTACAATGTGAGTAATTGTACAATACTTCTGCCCCATATTTTTTTCTACTACGGTCTTGCTCTTTCTCAGCTTTGTCCTAGCTCTGTCCATCACTATTATATACTTACTTCTCTTTTCTAGTCTGTTTTTAAAATAACCTTAATGACTTTTATAGGCCCAAAAAGTTAAAGAGTTTAATCCTTGTTTTTCAGAAGCAGAGGCCGAAGAGAGTAAAAGCCATGTACAAGTGTGTTGCAGATAACCCAGATGAGCTGACCTTCTCTGAGGGCGAGGTGATTGTGGTGGACGGAGAGGAGGACCAAGAGTGGTGGGTCAGTATCTCGGCACTGTGAAGTGACATGTAGAGATGACAAAGAATGAATGTCTGTAGAGCATATTATTTAGTTAAGCTAAACCCAGGATTTCCTGTATGACAAATGGGGTCCGTGGTTACATCGCTGTTGCAACATATGCGGCAGAGCTATGGTTTATGAATAGTTACACATTAAACATACATATCTGACTTTAAAATTATAAAACGAGAATGAGAAAATGAGATGTCAGACCTTTCCAAAATACAGAAATGTAGGAGTTTTAAGAGATACACAGTTCTTGCACAAAACTCTTGGGTTTCAAGGTAGAATTTTCTGATTTCAGGTTTAAACAACAACATTATAAGATTTGAATGTTGGAGAGGTAATTGTTTCTTATAGTTTCCCAGTGGTCGTGATAGTGGAATTGTACTATATTCTAATTTAGCCAACCCAGTGCGTAAATGTATTGCAACTTGATGATATGAGTTATAGAGTTCATTGAGTTGCTGGACTATATATTATTTATCTTAGTTTGAAGCTTTAGTAGAATATTGTCTTGCACTGTTGGATTATCTTTTAAGTTATGTTGTGTTTTCAGCTCGGACACATCGAGGGGGACCCCACGAGGAGAGGAGCCTTCCCGGTCACCTTTGTCCACTACATTGCAGAATGAGAGGGGCGCCCCCGTAATGTTGCCGATTTATAGAGCAAATGGTATCTCGAGTGTCCTTAGGACTTCCTGAACTAACACTAAAAGACTTTTAAATCCTCACACAATGAAAACAATTCAGATTTCTTGTGTAGCCGATTGTTCTGTTCTTAGAGAATACATAACCCTTTCAGCGTTGCTATTGAGTCAGCACTGGTTGCCTGGTGTAGAGGCTATAAAACATGAGTCTTAAAACTGGGACACAATGAAGCAGAGCATTCCATAACGTAAATGAAAGATAATATAAGTTAACTCACTGGACACTGACTTTTGTCTCATGTAAATAGTTGTTTATATTTTAATGTAATGTAAAAATGAATGTGCTGGGGTGAAGCAGAATTGTAGCTTAGCCTCGGATGGACTTGTGTGCCTAAGTAGAAAAAGAGGGAAATAAACAAATCATTAATATTCTGTCTGAGAACTAGTTTGTTTTACATGTTTAAAATGGAATGCTATTATTTAACTTACTAGCTGCAGACTGTACCTATATTTGTACTCCCTCTGCTGGGGAATAGTGGTACGATCAGATTACGCCATGTTAAACAATTACATACATGACTGGTGGTAATGTAATTTTAATAAACATGTACAAAAATCACTGTACCACACCCACGAACAAAAGGTATATTAAAGAAATTACTTGCTGATAGTGCTATGAAAAAGTATTTACCCCCTTACCGTTTTCTTACTTTTTTTGCACCTTTGTTATTCTTAGCCATTTCAGATAAAGCAAACTTAAATATTAGACAAAGATAACTCACAGGTAAACACAAAATGCAATTTTAAGTGCTGATTTTATTCATTAAAGGAAAAAAGCCATCTGAACCTACATGGCCCATGTGAAAAAGTAATTGCCCCCTAAACTTAATAAATAGTTGAACCACCCTTAGCAGTGACAACTGTAGTCAAGTGTTTGTGATGACTGGCTATGAATCTTTGACATCGCTACAGAGGAATTTGGCCCACTCTTCTGTGCAGAATTGCTTGAATCATTGTTCTGCTGCAGAACTATGTGCGCTTCACGTCACAAACTGATGGCCAGGCATTCCCCTTCATTTTGTTTTTGTAGAGAGCAGAGTTCAGAGCATGGTTCCTTCAATCACAGCAAGATGTCTAGGTTCTGAAGCAACAAAGCTGCCCTAAACTCTGCCATGTATGCCATTTTTGCCTAGTCTCTTTCTAATGGGTGAGTCACGAACACTGACATTTACTGAGGCAAGTGAGGCCTGCAGTTGTTTAGATGTTTTTCTGGTTTCCTTTGTGACCTCTTGGATCAGTCGTGGTTGTGCTCTTGGGGTAATTTTTGAAGGCCAGGCACTCCTGGGCAGGTTCACCACTGTACCATTGGTGGATAATGGCTTTCACTGTGGTTTGCTGGAGTCCTAAAGATTCAGAAATGGCTTTGTAACCCTTTCCAGGCTGAAACATGTCAATTACTTGTCTTCTTATCTGCTCCTGAATTTCTTTGGATCATGTCTTTGGTTCAAATTGGCCTACTTCACCTTGCCAGACAGGTTCTATTTAAGTGATTTCTTCATTTGAAAAGTCTGGCATCAATCAGGCCTGGGTGTGGCTATGAAATTGAGCTGAGCTTTCCACAATAATATGATTAATCACAGTTACCGTTCCTCATAATTTAACAAGCGACATGTAGGTTTGGATAGTATTTTATTCTTAACAAATAAAATCATCACAGAAAAACTGCATTTTATGTTTACTTGGGTTATCTTTGTTTAATAGTTAACTGTTTTAGATCATCACACATTTAAGTGTGACACACATGCAAAAAAAGTAAGAAATCAGGAAGGGGGCAAATACTTTTTCACAGCACTGTTGATTAAGAAGTCAAGCTGCTAGTACCATTTATAAGAAAGTTATTGGAAATGAATGCCCAAAACATTGGCTAAAAAGATATTAAAAATAGTCATACAGAAATTGCACATTACCTTAAGCACATAAAGATTAAAACTAAAGGTACCACATAAGAGGCAGGCATGGTCTATTTAAGGCTTTGTATCCATTTCAGGTCAAAGTATAAACTTAACAACAGTCTGATCATTTTCAGTAAAAGAACAAAACAAAAAATAATCTCATGAAAACAAACGTGTGGGTTGAATCCTGTGTACCAATAGAGACATTACAACGTTGTAAGTACAAAGTACCAAATAACTCACATGTATCTGTGTATATGTGCTCTTTCTGTACCAAATGTGTGAATATAATTTATAAATATACAGTACATTTTGAGGTACAAAAATATTATTCATATTGTCTTACATATTTCACAAGCAAAGGCACTCATTGTGAGGAGTTCCACTTGCTGGTCAGGACTTCTCGGACGCCAGAGCACAGTCAAATGCCGTTGATAGTACCTTACAGATGGCCTGAGCTTGCTCCTGCACATAACAGCAGAAGAAGGGTTAATACAATGTCTGGAAGCTTACAGCAGGTTTGAGTGCACAAACTCACTGAGCTGTGGCACTGGTACACCCAGATGCTGCACTCTTCTTGGTTCAAGTCTGTGGTTTTAAGAGCCAGAAGATTTTTTCCTGCTCCAAGGCCATCATCGTAACACAACATTCGGACAATTAGGTACAAGGGGTGCCGATGCAAGACATCCTACAAAAAAGAGCCCAAATCCTATAGCGTCACAAACATTCAGCAGAAATAGAAGTCCAAATAAAAATGTATTATTTTGTAACTAATTTATAACACTTACACACTGGTCAACTGAGGCCACTTTGACTCCATGCTTAGACACAACCAGAATCATCTCCTCCTCTGTAGGCACAAAAGGCAGCTTCCCATCTTGCTGAAGAAGGAATAAAATCAAACAAATAAAATGTTGGTGAAAATGATTCATTCAAATAGCATGAAAAACTTTCAGTCAATGGCACAAATGGCTGCCATCCCATTTCTGCTGGTATCTGGAGCACAGATGTCACCTGGGCTGTGTCGATGTAGTTGATGAGGTCCAAAGGCTCCTGGAGAGTCCTGCTCATGTCAAACCTCATCTTCTCTAAGGCTCCAACATACTTTACCCTGAACTCTGCACACGCCTCAGAGCTGTTCCCTGTACACAGTAGCACACTGATATCACTAACGCAATATTTATTCTTTATTTATTACCCTACTGAAAAGCCTGAAGTTATTAAATGTTATTGAAAACGTGGTGCACCTGAGCTCTTGGCAGAATCTGTGTCGAGGCTGGCAACAGTGCTGGACCTGGACAGCCCTCCTAGACTGGACTCCACAGACTGGAGGGTACAGAGGAGAGTTAGAGCTCTATCCAGACATCACCTGTGTGTATCTGTGGGCCGGGCTTGTACTTTGCTCTTGGTGCTGATTTCACTGCTCTGGGAGCTGCTGCTGCTGTGACGCTTCTTTACTTTCCGGAACATTCTTCACCATGACGACCGCATCCACACTCAAACTGGGAACAAATGTGGGAAAAAAACGGCACAGTGATAATCATCTGAGCTAGGGTGACCATCACCGTTTCCACAGACTCAGTTTCACAGGCAAGAAAGTGTTAAAAAGAGTAGCAATACTCTTAGAAGTAGTTAAATGTCAACATACTAATATACTAATAATGCACCAAACCACATCTATGCTCTGCTCCCTTTTCACAGGAGATAGTAGTAGCAATAAAACATTTATAACTCGTTGGCCTACTAGGTGTTCCATCACATCATTTATTGAAGACATGTTTGGCAGGGTTGCGCCATCTTATACATTTTAGGCAAGCATTCTTGCATTGTGTGAGTTCGAGTGCTGAACTTACATAAGTTTACATCACACTAATTCAAACCAAATACCAACACTTGAAATATGAAAACAAAAGCAGAATATTCATACAGGCTGTAAAAGAGTCGCCAACCTTGATCACATCTATTCGTACCGACGCCTCTTTCGTGTCACCGTTCGGCTCCAGATGTTATTTTTCAGCCAAAAGTCTCATGTTTACTTCGCTTTGAGTGGACGACTTGCCATCATTGAGGTTTAACGTAACCTCCACCCAAAGCTCTTAAAGGGAGCGCAGCCGAGAACTTCGCCAATGGACTTTTTCCTTCATACAGTCACTAAATACGCTTTCTGGTCTTTAAAATGTCACGAAATCTTCATATATATAAACCAGTTAACTAGAAGAGAGACTATCCAATTCACACACTCAGTATAAAACGTGAATGTGTTGGGTTTATCGCTCATGGGTGTCGGTAGGAACCAAAGTGATGGAGGCTTTTGATTCTATCCGGAAGTATTTTGGTTCAAAGGCGGAAGTGGCCCTCCCAGAATCTGAGGCCCTCCCACTCATTCAAATATGAGCTGCAGCATCTGATGGAGAGATTATTATAGTGTAGTAAATTGATAAGGCTGTCAGATATTTTTATGCCCATATTATAATTAATGATGGCTGCAAGACGTAAATTAGACGTTATTGTTCCTGCCGAGGAAAGTGACCAGCTGCATATTCGACCACTGTAAGATGCTTTAGCATTTTTTTTTAAATCTATTCTGCATAATGCTGTGTGAGCTGTGCTTAATAAATATTTTTTCTGTATTTAACAGGGGCGCTGGGCAGGAGGTTGGGAGATCCTGTATAATTCTGGAGTTTAAAGGAAGAAAAATAATGGTACTGTATTATATAGTATTGTTGTGATTTTAATCTATTTCTTATTCTGTAAAGCACTATGAATTACTTTGTGTACGAATTGTGCTATACAAATAAACTTAACTTGCCTTGCCCAGTAGTGTAGTGACTTGGAGTCTTATTACCCCTGAATAGCATGCTTTTACTGTAATTTCGTTCATTCATGATAGTGTATGATGTATTTTAGGTATAAATATCCAAATAAAATAAAGCACATGAAGTTCAGAAATTGCATCATTGTCAATTCAGATGACAAATGTAAGGTGTGTGTTTTCAGCTGGACTGTGGGATTCATCCTGGTTTGGAAGGAATGGATGCCCTTCCATACATTGATCTGATAGACCCAGCAGAGATAGACCTGCTTTTAATCAGCCAGTAAGTGTTTTATTCATTTCTCTGTCCATGCACCAGTGTGACAAAACGCAATCAGATTTTTAACACTTTCATTTGACAGTTTCCACTTGGATCATTGTGGAGCTCTGCCCTGGTTCCTCCAGAAGACCAGTTTTAAAGGCCGAACCTTCATGACTCATGCTACTAAAGCCATCTACCGTTGGCTGTTGTCAGATTATGTCAAAGTCAGGTTGGAATGGTGTATTTATCTCAAATCTACTTTATACCATCCTTCATAACCTTTATTATCCTGTAGTAACATTTCAGCTGATGACATGCTGTACACGGAGACAGATCTGGAGGAGAGTATGGACAAGATTGAAACAATCAACTTCCATGAGGTCAAGGAGGTGGCAGGAATTAAGTTCTGGTGTTACCATGCCGGTCACGTGTTAGGAGCAGCCATGTTCATGATCGAGATCGCAGGAGTCAAGGTGAGAATAACAGATTCATTTAGCTTGTTTCAAAAACAGTAAGGTGCTGAAATACCTCATAGACTGGTCACCCTGTGTGTCATGCTTAGTACAGAAAGTCATAAAGCCACATACCATTGATAAGTTATTCTTTTTTTTTTCTTCCTCTCAAAGTTGCTGTATACTGGAGATTTCTCACGCCAAGAGGATAGACATCTAATGGCTGCTGAAATTCCGAGTGTCAAGCCTGACATCCTCATTATAGTATGCTGCCTTTTATTTCAGTAACCAAAAAAACAACACCTAATCTCCATGTGGTCCATTTCAGGAGTCCACCTATGGCACACACATTCACGAGAAAAGAGAAGAACGAGAGGCACGCTTCTGTAACACTGTCCATGACATCGTGAACCGGGAGGGCCGCTGTCTCATCCCAGTCTTTGCTTTAGGACGGGCCCAGGAGCTGCTGCTTATTCTTGGTTAGCAGGTGCCCACTCATATTGAGTGCAGGAAAGTCTGGTTTTACAGCTAATGTGCGCCTCTGTAGATGAATACTGGCAGAACCACCCCGAGCTTCATGACATCCCCATCTACTATGCCTCATCTCTGGCCAAGAAGTGCATGGCAGTGTACCAGACCTATGTCAATGCGATGAACGACAAGATCCGCAAGGCCATTAACATTAACAACCCTTTTGTTTTTAAACACATCAGCAACCTCAAAGTATGTGGCTCTTTGTCTGCACCATGTGTCAACTTTTGTGCGGAATTTTCACGTTGCGTTTTCTACAGAGTATGGACCACTTTGACGACATTGGCCCCAGCGTGGTGATGGCATCTCCAGGAATGATGCAAAGTGGATTGTCCCGAGAACTGTTTGAGAGCTGGTGCACAGATAAAAGAAATGGGGTTATCATCGCAGGTTACTGTGTTGAGGGGACACTTGCTAAGGTCAGCTCCCACCAGCCTACTTGACAGTGCAAATAGTACATCTGTTGTTTACAATTTTTTGTGTTAAATGGTGATCATTAAGTGTGTATTCTTTATGTGGAAGGAATTAATAACAAAAAGCCATTTGTATTTGTATTTAATTGGTCCAAATAAAACAAAATCAGAAATTGAAGAAAGAAATTAACTGAAGAAAAATAACTGATAATAATTGAAATAAATAAATAATTTCATCCAGCCTTATGGTGTGCAACATACTTAAGGAAAAGGGCAATAAAATAAAATTCAGCTACAATTGCACTTTGCTGACCATTCTTAAGTATTCCTTACTTAATGTTTGTGTTTTGTGTCCAGCACATTATGTCAGAGCCCGAGGAGATCACAACCATGTCGGGACAAAAGCTGCAGCTAAAGATGTCTGTGGACTACATCTCCTTTTCTGCCCACACAGACTACCAGCAGACCAGCGAGTTCATCAGAGCTCTCAAACCCCCACATGTGGTAAGAGCTGACTTGGATCATTGTTTCTTGTGCCTACATGACCGCACCACCTGCTCCCATATTTTAGATTCTGGTGCACGGGGAACAGAATGAGATGGCTCGGCTTAAGGCAGCTCTTATCAGAGAGTATGAAGACAATGACCAAGTGCACATTGAAGTCCACAACCCCCGCAACACAGAGGCCGTCACACTCAACTTCAGAGGAGAGAAATTAGCCAAGGTCATTCTCACCTGTAGTATTTTTATGTTATGGAAATTTTGGAAATGTTCTGCAAGTTTAATAAAACATGTTTTGTGAATCTAGATGCTTGAACTCTTTGTGTTTGTAGGTGATGGGCTCTTTGGCGGATCAGAAGTGTGTGCAGGGACAGAGAGTCGCAGGAATCCTGGTGAAGAAGAACTTCAACTATCACATCCTGAACCCCTCTGATCTTTCCAGTGAGTGCCTTCCTTCTCATCAGCCCCTCTAATGCTCTCAGGATTTAGCATGTGCTCAACTGTTTGTGTTTACAGCATATACAGAGCTGACAGTGAGCACAGTGAAACAGAGCCAGGCTATCCCCTTCACTGGCCCATACTCCCTCCTCGTGTGTCACCTCCGGAACCTCACTGGTACCGCTCACACGTCGCCCTTTGATCTCATTTAGCAGATACACTGTTGTTTGGACTCTCTTCTTGTTTGTGTTAGGGGACATAGAAGAGCTGGAGGGGACAGAGAAGAACACTCTAAAAATCTTTAAAAGCATCACTTTGGTTCATGAAGCAGGGATGGTGTTACTTGAGGTTAGTCTATATTTCTGCAAAACTTACATCAAAATAGTAAATAAATTCAAGACATTTGGATGTTTTTAGTGGATAGCAAACCCTCTGAATGATATGTATGCTGACGTGGTCACAACAGTGGTGCTGGAGGTCCAGTCCAATCCAAAGGCTCAAAGGGGTTTGTCTGACAGCCATTTAAATGAAAATCTCTATTTATGATATTTGTAATTTTTTTCATCATTATTATTTTAGAATTAATTTAAAATGTAATTGAAATGACCTGATTTTCTGATTTTGTTCAATAATCAGTAATGGAAACCCAGAGTAACATTATGGACTTGGATGTATTCCAGGCTCGACTTGAAGTGATGCTGCAGTAAGTGCATCTCTGTGCCTCATATTTATTTAAGATTTGCCTCAGTTTCACTTTCACTCTTTTATCTCTATGCTCTGTTCAGGGACATGTTTGGAGAGGACTGTGTGGCTTTCATTGATGGTAAAACTATTGCAGTAACAGTTGACAGGAGGGTTGTCCACGTCTGTGTGGAGACCAGGGTTAGACACATAAACTGTTGTAAAATACCTTTCATATGGGTAACTATGTAGCCTAATATATGTTTGTGTATAGACGGTGGTGTGTGAAGACAATGGCTATGAAGACGACTCTTTAAGAGAAATGGTTGAGTTGGCCATGCAGCGGCTCTATGATGCACTCAACCCCGTCATCTGAAGCCAGTTTACAATATAATTTATGTATTTATTTAATTATTTGTAGTGATTTTACCCTGTCTTTGTAATTTGACATTTTGATAACTCTATTTGGAGACAAAATAAATGTTTTGCTTTCTTATCACCCAGTCATCTCAGATGTAGGAGACTTGGATTTCTATATATTTCTATATAGGAAGGCTTTGCCAAATCTGTATCCTTTTTATGATAGAAGCAGAACCTGCAAGTATGGATGAGGAAACATTTATCTTAATTATGTTTAGTTACATTGTTGGAGTTAGGTGATTTCTGACACAAGTAAAACTTTGCAAATAAATGCTGGAAGAAGACAAAAGCATTTTTGGTATTGTTTGCATTCTATATTTATTTGGCAAACAGAAAAAACAAACCCATGTTCTAACTTCTAATTAAGTTATGTTAAAACCATTTATTTAAGTTATGAGCCCACTGCTCTCTGGGCACTTTTAAGACATTGCTGCAATGCCTTTCAAGTAAATTAGCAACTTTATAAAAGTCGTAGATGAGCAATGACTACGTGCCAACTATGACAGTCACGTATGTCTATAATTTTCCCAACATCAGTTCCAACCCCTCTCTCAACTCGTGTTTGAGTAGCAGTTAAAAACAGTTAATACCAGTTCTGCGGGTATTGCACAATGAAAACAGCAAAATCTCTGCATTGACAGTGATGCAGAAATGACAATGTCGTCTTCAGCTGCAGAAAACTGATTCAAGACACTTAAAAGCTTTTCATAATGTAGGCCTATTGCGCTTTTCAGCTCCGTTTGAGGCTGATAAATATCCCTATGGCCATCACCAGGAGCATCCCCACCCCAAACCCCATCACTCGGTCCATTCTTTGTTCCGCCATGGTCTCTTCTTTCTTCCTCAGCATCTCCACTTTGCGCACACGGATGTCTTGCTCCCTCTGCAGCTGCTCACCGTAGTGGGATTTGAAGAACTTGTCGAAGTCAAACACCCGCGCGCTTTCCTCCTGGCCCATCATGGGCCTTCTGGGATCGCGTTGCTGCTTGGCGGAGCTTGGTGTGGGAGTGTCTTTAGTAGAGGGTCTGGCAGAAGCTGTGAGGTCTGAGGAGCTCAGTAACCCGCGGTCGTACTTTTTGCGCAGAGCTTTGTTGCCAAGAACAGTGTATGCTTCGTTTATCTCCGAGAAGCGCAGCGTAGCCTCCTCAGTTCCCGCATTTCTGTCCGGGTGATACGCGAACGACTGTTTGTAGTATGCAGTTTTGATTTGGGCTTGAGTGGCATTTGCTGAAACTCCTAAAATATCGTAGTAGCCCGTTTTGCTTTTGTACAATGGCTCTTGGTAACCACCATTGCCACTGTACGCCCTAATAAAAACTAAAGAGTAATTTCTTGACCCTTGGCTGTCTAGAAGTCGCCTGCCATAGTTTTGAATTCGCTTGACGCGTTTCGGTCCATAAAATGTAGCCGATTCCTTCTGATAATAAATGTCCAGGGTGGAAATCACTGGCTTGACCCTTGTACACCAATCCGTTGTGGGAGAGTCCGACACACATCGAGCTCCTTTGCCGCTCGTGTTTACGATGTTTTCCAACAGAAACCAGGCAGACAACGACGATACACGCCGTGTACCTTTATACCACAGGATCCCAGTCTTTGGACGAGCACAGAATTCAGTTTTAAGTCCAATGTCAGATCCTCTCCTTGTCAGGCGCACTGCCCCAGCCGCCATGTTCACAAAACACTAAAACAAGTCGCCGGTTACGTCCGACTGACGCAGTGCCCCCTGGTGGACCGGAGCTCACTTCATCACCGAGCTCTAACCTCAAACTAACAGGATTCTTACCGTAAACACAGTTACTAATTCCCATTGTAGCCTTTTTATTTATTTATTTATTTTTTACCAAGTCTGTAATTTTGTAATTATTTTATTAAAGCCAAATGTAATGATTTCATTATAACCACAGCCTTTACTCTGAAAATGCGGGTTTGTTGTTTCACTTAGCTTAACCGGAAGTAAGTTTGAAAATGTTTAACTGTAGAGCAGTCGTTTGGCCTAAAATTATATTATTTGGAGATTCCATAACGCAGGTAGATCCTGCATTTGTTTAGCATTTGCTTGATTTAAAGTTCTACTTGTTCTTATACATAGCTTGTGACAGCATGGCATAAATATTGTACTGCTCGTGTTTCAGTTTTCTTTTCAGCCAAATGGATGGGGGGCAGAAATTGCGAACAAGTTAGCGAGGTAATTCCGACTATGAAAAACACCACTTTTTAGTAAAGCAGTTACATTGAAAAATACAGTAAAATGCACGTTTGTTTCAGGAAATGTGATGTGGTAAACAGAGGGCTGTCCGGTTACAACTCCCGATGGGCCAAGATCCTTCTGCCGCGGCTTGTCGGAGCTCAGGACTCCACGGACAGCCCCATCGTAGCGGTCACAGTTTTCTTTGGGGCCAATGACGCTGCTTTGAAAGGTACACAGGGGTCCTGCCTATGTGAGGATTCACTTTAGCTCTACCTGTTTCTTCTATAATACTTATGTTCCTCTTCCGTCAGATAAAAATAGACAACAGCATGTACCACTTCAGGAATATTCTGAGAATTTGAAAGAGATTATCAAAATCCTGGCATCTGTAGGTGTTTCTGCAGACAAAGTCATCTTCATCACGCCCCCTCCTATTCATGAGCCAGCCTGGGAGAAAGAGTGCATCATAAAAGGTTGACTCATTTTGTGGACTTAGCAATCAGAATGTTAAGTAAATAAAACATTTGCTTCCAAAATCCTACTTCCAATCTTTTAGGGTGTGACCTGAACCGAGCAAATTCAGTGACAGGTCAGTACGCCCAGGCTTGTGTGGAGGCTGCGGGACAGTGTGGTGTGGACGTGCTGGACGTATGGACGCTGATGCAGAAGGATGGACAGGTGTGTGCCACATTGGTTCAGTGATTGTATATATTTACTGTGATTCTTTTACTTTCCTTTTTGACTTCAGGATTTCACAGAGTACTTGTGTGATGGGCTGCACCTCTCTCAGAAGGGAAACCAGTTTTTGAGTGAGCAGCTGTGGAGGCTGCTGCAGAGGCGTGTGGAGGACCTGCCCTTCATCCTTCCTTACTGGGCAGATGTGGACACTGGAAGTCCAGAGACCAGTCTGCTCTGTGACTGACACTACAAGCAACACCCTCAGACCTGTTGGTGCTTTGTGATATAGAAAATATATAGTATATGTGCAGACAATTGTTAACTCAAAACAGTGAAAATGAAGAATAAACATTTAGGTTTTTTTTTATTCATGTTCTTCAATTACTGACAAGTCCCACAGATACCAGCTGTAACAGTTCCAATCTCACAGTGAAAGCACAATAATTCTGACATTCTAAACATTTAACGTTATTCAAGGCATAAGTGGTAAAACAAGTGCATTACCCTAAAAAAAAGTTACAATAATATATGTATTGAAGGAATTCCATGTCTCTACAACTTAAATAAGTCAAATGACATTGTTAACACTCACTAGATATGTCACACAATTAGAAAAGGCACATTAAATACGCTTACATACCATTACTGCCACTGATGATGTTTTGAACTGTTTTGAGGATGTCAACACTGATGTGAGTTACAGACTATTGTTCCCACTGTAATCAATTTGAAATGCAGATAACAAGCTTGAGTAGCTATTAAAAACAAACTTTCCAGTGTTTACAGAACAAGCCTTGAGTCCAGTGATAAATGACGAAGGTTAAAATATCTGTATGATGAAGGCTCTCAGCACTCTGTCTCTTTGGTGTCAATGCAGTCCTGCCGGCGCAGGCGGTGCCGCTCCCGGCCCGTTGGGTTCTCGCTCAGATCCTCGCAGGAGGATCTCGTAGCCGACGAGGAGGCTCCTGCGGTTGTGAAAGCGCCGGGGGCCTCCTCTCCGTGGGGAGAGTCGCTGCTGTCCTCCTGGATTGTAGCCATCCGTGGGCCCCCGCCGCTGTCCGGACTGCGGCTGGAGCTCTCCCCTGGAGCCACGGGTTTGCTGGCCATGAGAGGCTGGTTCTGAGGGGACAGAGAAGAGGGCCCGGTCGGGCCTTCGGAGGAGAAGTGTGCTCGAGGAGGCTTGACGATGCGCACGGATGTGGATTCCAGATTGCTCAAGATTTCTTGACTCTGCAATAGAAAAACATTTATACTTATGACCATGTAAAGTACAAATGTCTGGTGCTACCACAGACATGAGGAGTGATTGATAATATGGTACTTGAGTGTAGACACGCTAAACACTAGTTACTCTTTCTGTACACTAATGCACCTTCTGTGTCAAAATCAAAGATTTGACAGTGCAAAGAGAAGAGAAAACTGAGAATTTGATGACAGTTCACTTGGAAAATTCCTTTATAATAGACAAGTGGTGTATTATAAAGAAAGTAATAATAATACCTTTTTGAAGCCACCTGATAATACTGTGGCAGAGCAATAATGCAAACTGAAAAGTTGACAGACACAATGGGTGAGAGTGGGCACAAGACAACAGTGAGGTGCAGCGGCTCACTCCTCTGCACTGGTCACAATTCACTGCTGCTGCTCTCATTTAGTCACTTCTGTTCCTGGTGCCTCACCAAGGCTCAGAATAAATGTGCAGCCACCCAGAGCAGGCATCGCATTAAGCAGTGAGTGAGTGTAGAAATATTTAAATTGTGGGCCTCAGACCATGCAGCGCCCTGGACTCATGGCAACACAAGCTACGTACACACACTCACCTACAGCTGGAGCACGACTACAAACCTCCACCATCCGCTGCAGTGTGTGAAGGGGGGTCAAGGCAGAGAGCAGGTCAGTGTCCCACCTCAGCACTGACGAGCCCTGTCTAAACCTGCAATCTAATCTCAGGTCTGATGAAACCCTGGTTGGTTATCCACTCAATCCCGAGTCATTTAATGAGTCATTTATAACCTGAGTTAAACCTGCTCCAGGGCAGAGGTGCCATGTGGAAAGCAGCAATTAGCTAAACCACGTCTATATTCCAAGGTTGGAATATAAAAGCCTATGCCATCGTACAAACCATGTCAGTACCACGGTATAGGCTTTTGAGCATGCACTTTTAAAAATTATTTCTCTGCTTATAAATATGAAGTGAATTCAGTTTGACTATGGGACTTCATTTGGCCCATTAAATTCCTCATGTTACCTTGTTTCCTCAAAATAACCAATGCTTCTCTGATTAAACATGCCATTGCCAGTAAGACATTCTGTTAGTGAGGTTAGTGAGACACACTCAAGCACAAATTTGACACAAAGAATGATGGGGTAGACTTACACTGGGAGGGTAGTAAAAGCACTTGGCGTTTTCTTCATATTGCTGGTCCAGTTTTTTGTCCTGCAGAAGCACACAAAATAGTGAGTTAGAATGTTGCACACAGAGAATTAGAAGGAGTCTGAAGACTGAGGCTCACCACACAGTGCACCAGGATGCTCAGAGGGATCCAGAAGACTAGGGAAAACACTACCACTGACCCCACAATGTTATCGGCCAAGAACTTGCCTAGACTCAAGCATAGCTTAAGGTTAGAACCATCCACCTGTTTAGGCCTACTTATATACACACTCACCAAATGTGTTGATGTTGAGTTTGTCAATAAAATCCCACAGCCTTTCGATCACATCCTGAACCTGCTTCATGCATTTGCCCTTTGATCAAACAAAATACTCACTGTAATTATGTTTTAATATACCATTTAAAATGTGAGAAACATTAGAGACTTACAGCCTCATCGCAGAAGCCCACAGTGCAGGGCTTCCCTTTGCGGAGGAACAGGTAGCTCCCATTGGTCAGCTTAAAAGGAATACATGCCCCGTCCTTCCTACAGCACACTTTACACGAGTGCTCCGTCTCTACAGGACACATATACATATAAAAGCAACAGTGCCAACATTAGAACTATACCTTGGTAAAGGGCAACATTATAAACCAAATCAATGAGTTTCTCTTTTACCACGCATTGAATTTAGTTTTTGAAAATAAAGCCGTATCTTCTTGTCTTGCTCTCATTAATAGTTGTGGTTAAAGGGGGTTTATTACACTTCTATACTTCAGAAAACATCATACAATTTTTTTTTTCTGAGTCCATGCACCCCTTGCTCCCCCTTCAGAGTATTATCACAACACAATGAGCGTGCATCCCACAAATAAACATTGCATTAAGTTTGTGAAGTTGTAGTGTGTTATTTTGTATCCTGCCTTTGTATATTTATGGAAAATGGTTGTGGGGTGATGTAGGCTTGAGAACTGTGCTATAGACAGGATAGTACTTTAAGGAGGGTTCGGATAGTGCTTGAGAGAGATCGCAACATTACTCAAACGTGCATGCACTTCAGGCACGTTTTAATGAGGGAACAACGTTACAACATGTTAGAAAGCTCAAAAGGTTGACTTTACATAATACTCCCTCTTTATGGATGAGTGAGTTACTACCGTTGCAGGCACAGGACTGGAGGTTCTGCATGGCCTCACAGAAAGGGTTACACTCTCCATTTCGACACCTGCCATTGTCCACACACACCGTGTCATCAGCTGCGTTCACTGGTGGAGGGCACTTACTGCTGTTTCCTATATTAAATACAGATATGAACTGCACATGAACTGTAAAGGTTCTTTTAATTATGAATGTTAAAACTGTTAAACATTCGCACCTGTACAGGAGGAAATGCCTTTACATGTTGCATTGATGGCCTCTTGGCACCTTATTCCTGCTGGCTTAAATGTGCAATTCTGACAGCATGCACTGTTTCTATCACTGTGTTTAAAAAGAAAATATTAAAGCTGTTACAATGAGATATTTGACAAAATGTCAAATGAACATGTCTCCCCTGTAAGTAGGTTCATGTGAATAGTGTGAGTAGTCTGGGAGTGTTACCTGCACTTAACAGCAGGTTTGAACTTGCAGTCAGCTGTGCAGCAGGTGTCATCATTGAGGTGGAGCAAACCTGGGTCACAGTCCTCGCCCTCCTCTACACGAGAGTTCCCACACACTTTACTGTTTCGCTCCTTGAAGCAAACTGGGGCTTTAAACCGCAGGGTCTTTCCAATAGATGTCTTGCTGCAGTTGGAGAAACGCTGGAGGGAATAAAACGTTAAAGTTGCACGTCTTTCTCAAGCAAAAGTGTACCAAACTGGAAAATAGCTTTACTATTGCACAAAGAACATTTTGCACAGGTGTGTCTAAGTATTTGTATAGATCTTTGTTTTCATTGTATTGCACTCATTAGAATTGCCTTATGTGTGCACATTGACAGTTTATTTTAAGTTACCTTATTGTTGTAGTGGTCCCCGCTCACAGCGATGGGGTACATGACAAACTTGCCCCCTTGGTCATCAGTGGGGGCACACAGAGGGATGTTATCAGGGTCGTGTTCGGCTCCAAAGTTGTGTCCTAGCTCATGAGTGGTCACCAAATCTGCCTCCTAATGCAACCATAATGATTTTAATTTAAATTTCCATTAAAAAAAAAAAAAAAAAGAAAGAAAGAAAAATCAACTACCTTTGTTAGGATGGTTTTGCCATAATTCTTGGTGCTGGTCAGTCCAGTGTTCAGGTAGCTTGGTTTTTTGGCTGAAGCAGAGGGATAGTATGCTACAAAAAATAGAAAAGAAATGAATTAATAAAACTATTAACTACACAGATGCTTATCAAGATCATAAGCCACACTTTGAATAAATCTGCCAGCCTACAAAATGAAATTGTGGGCCTACTTACGTTTGGGACAGAGGCCACCCAGCGCATGGGGTTTGGAGGGAGCCACATAGGCGAGGCCCAGAGTGCCCTCGTCAAAGTCCTGATAGGTGAAAAGGTGAGCCAGACATACACTGGATGCATTGTCCGCTATGTCTGCACTGAATTGCTATGAAACAAAAAAGGTCATAAGTCAAATCACAAACCTTTAATCTGTAGCATTATAGGATATGATTATCTTGTCATGTAATATATTTATGTTTTAAAACAAATTTCTCAAATCAAAGATGCTACTTGGATGATTTTTTTTTTGCTCTAATATTCTAACTGGACTTTGATTATGTTCTTAAAACAGAGTCAGTTTGTAATAGTACCTCCAGGAGCTTCTTCACATCCCAGGCTTCCTTTCCCTTCACAGTGCTGTTTTCCATGTTGTAGTGGATCCAGGAGCGGGGGTCACGGCCTGGTGGAGGCTTTGTGGGCTCTTTGTTGATGATAATCTGAAACAATTTCCAAATATTAATAGGACGTTAAATATAAGAGAAAACATAATTTATGTTTTCTAGCTTCCCATGTGTGTTAGCAACCAATTACACATAAAAGAATTAGAAAGGAGAGCTCTCAGATACCTGTTGGATCTGTACTCCGTACCCTTTGAACTCCTCATCCCATGTTGTGTTTCTATAAATGTCATCAACTCGATCAATCAGCTCAATCTACAGGATAAAACCAATATGTCATTAGTATGAAATATAGTAAAAATACAACAATAAAAATAAAACATTTGCTCAATAAAAATATAGACAGTTGAAAGGGAGTACCAGGTAGTTTAGAGTGACACTCTCCTGTCCTCTCCCCATGTGCCTGTAAAAGCGGTAATCGGCCACCAGCAGCAGTGGGCATGTATTCTTTCTGTGATCATGGACATACCTCTTCTCTCTGCTTTGGGGTTCTAAATATCCAAAAGACATTTCAAATCAGTACACTAAACAGTCCAACAAAAAACCAAAGTAGGATGTCCATACCATGCTCCTGTGGCCCATGGTTTCGCCCCAACTCTGACAGAAAGTACTTGTCCTGAGCCTGCATATAGCCGCAAACTTTTGGAGAAGCCATTCGACTCAAATTTTTTATATCTTCAGAGCGATAAACAAGAAGGCTGCCATCGGCTGCTGAATTTGTGAATCTCCATAATGGCTGCAAAATAGTGATAAAACTGTAAGACGGCAAATAATAATAATAACAACATACTTAAAATGTGAGTCAACATAGTGTATACTTCTATTGTATATTCAGACTCCTCAGTAAGTATGTGTGCAGAAAACTCATCGCCATCTATGTGTGCTTGGATGCGTGAATGTTCTTCCCCTGCAAAAGATCACTGACAATCAAAAACCTATTTTAATCATCTACACATCTTGGACAAAAACAAACAAAACTTTAACTCACCAACAACATGTCCTGTGAAATAGTTCTGAAGCTGAACATCATAGTCTTTCTCCCCACCATTTTTATCAACAAACACAACCTTAAAGTCCTCAGTAAAAAGGCCAGTGTTAGAAGTCAGATACAGCTTGAAGTTCCTAAAAAGTCAGAAATTATGTTCACTTTTGACATTATTCATTAACCGTGGGATGGTGATTACATTAAGAGCAGGAGATCACATATTGGTGATGAATACTTTGTGTGGTCCTGCAGAGCCAAATTGTTTCTTCATTGGTGATCAGTAAATTCACTTAAAAGTGACCAACAATGATCCGTTTAAAATGTAGAAAATAAAACCTTTCGGTACATCTGCCCATTTTATTTTAAAACGTTCAGAGTTTCGCTCTCCATGCCCAAGTCTACGTACAGTTTACAGTTTTAAAGACGTAGACGAACACGTAGACGACGCTAATACAAAATATAGAGTTTTAGGAAGCTGTTTGCGGACCTCTGCAGAGCAGTGAAGCTGACCAGTCTCTCTAGGTGCGAATGGGTGTGGACGTCTCTTCTCCGCACGGAGTGCATCTGAAGTCTCGACAGCGGCAGGATGTCAAAATCCGACAGGATTGTGTGGAGAACATCTATCCATATTGAGATGTGCAATGAAAATACAAAGAAGCTTTTTTAACACATTCAATGAGAAGCAGTATGATGATTAGAAAACTGTCTAACATGTAAAACAAAAAACAAACAAACAAAATATAGCCCATACTTGGCTCCCTATTTCATAAAATTACCATATTTTTTGCTTTGTTCGCGGTCCTCTTCGTTAAAAAATTTAATGGCGCCGATTATCCAGTAGGAAACCACGAAGTTGAGCAAAAATAGTATCTTCATTGTATAAATATGTACTAGTTCAACTCCGGCATGATCAGAAATTTAAGAATTAACCGATTTACTCAGTTTGGTTTTCTTTTTCTGATTCAGAGCTACCCGGAAGTGGACTGACTGCAAAACATCCGCAGTGAACGGGTGGGCCGGAGGGACAATTCAGAATATTTAGAATCCGTACAAAAATAATGCGCATTATTGATTTTGATAAATCAATTGATTTAAGCATATTTTAGATGTGTACATTTTCCTGATTTTAATTGTAATAAAATAAAATTATATTTGGTTTTAAATAAGCGCATCTCTATGACGTAACTGTACCTTCTTCCCACCATAGACAGCATGTAAAAAGTAAAGGGTAGTGCTTACTTATAAAACCTGTGGTAGTCTTCCTCCAAAACAAAGAATTAATAACCGATTTTAAACAGTCTAAAGTACTTTTGGTAAAAAGCACTGTGTATACTGTTAAAGTTCAAAATGAAAACACACATTGGTTTATAAAATGCTTTATTCTTTTTAGCCAATACACTGGAATCCAAACAGTTCCTCAAGGTTTTGAGCACTGCAAAGTGAATATCAAAACAATAGTGGTTTAGATAATTTATGACAATCACTAGACAGATGAACAAATCTGTATGGAAATTTACCATTTTGACCATTTAAAATGTGATATAGCAATTGACCCCATTCCAGTGTGACATCTAAGACAAAGATTTATACTAGAACCTCATTTTGATCAAAAGAGCTCAAGAGCCATGCTTCAAAATAACAATGATACAAGGAAATAAGCATTTAAAACAACCGTCTTAACAATGTTGGGTTAAAATTGTTGCCAGCTTGTAATGAACACTGGCTACTCCTGTACTATAACATTATAGATCTCAATTGCTCAAACCGCAAGCCCTTGACTAAAGAGTATAGACAAAGGTTTGGAAAAGGCCCTGGTGTAACATTTGCTTTAAAGCATTAGTTCAAAAAAGCAGTATGAGAATTTCCAGTCAAAAGCTGATGGCAGGTTATGCAAGTAGAGGTAAAACTGCACATATACAAGACAGGACAAACCAAAAGGAATGGACAAGTTTTTCATTACTTCAAATCTAAACAGTGAAAATATTTTTTATTTGAAATTTCCATTCACAACTCTAAGCAATGGGAATCATAGGAAGAATGATGAGCATTCAGGAATGAGGAAATTACTTAAGATGAGACTTAGTTGTCATTTTCACCATCTCCTCCTTCTCCATCACCGTCATCACCAGCATTATCAGAGGTCCATAGCTGTGAAGACACAAGGAAGAGAATGTTTTTGTGTTTTACTTTTTAGGATTTACAGTTCAATGACCGAAACTAGGAACTTACTGTCAGGTTGTCTCTCAATAGCTGCATGATCAGAGTGCTGTCTTTGTAGGAGTCCTCATTTAGTTTGTCCAGTTCAGCAATGGCTGCATCGAAGGCCTACAAAAAAACAAAAAACAAAAAAAAAAAAACAATGTGAGTACAAGTAGTAATGCCTAAATATACTTTACAATTTCCTTCTCCATCAAATATACACACTTCTTTTGCCAGGGCGCAGGCTTCCTTGGGTGAGCTGAGAATTTCATAATAGAAGACAGAGTAATTCAGAGCCAAACCCAGACGAATGGGATGAGTAGGATCCATCTCCGATTTGCAGCATTCCAGTGCATCCTCATATGCCTTTTTGGAATTCTCAGTAGTGTCTGGGAGGAAAAAAAATCATTTCACAACCATCAAATTTTAGTCTTAACCTCCATATTGAGGAGAAATTAGTGTTCTTGTTCAGTTTATGGACAGAGCATGTCTCAGAAAATCCAGAATTCACTCTGAGCTGCATACAGTCCTTAGCTTTCACACACTGGCCTGTTATAATTCTAACCAATGTGTTGAGTGCATTCAAAGTAGAATGCAACTTACCCTTTTTATCAGCTTCACTGGCTACTTCAGCAAGGTAACGGTAGTAGTCCCCCTTCATCTTCAAATAAAAAACATAGCTCTCAGCGTGGTCCTTAGAGTTTGGAATTAAATATTCATCCAGCAACCCCTGCAGAGAGAATAAAACAATGTCAGCCCACTTCAATGTATACAGCTATGCTTTTACTCCAGCGTCTTAAGTGATGCTAAATTATGATCAGAAAGAAAAGGAAAACTGGTTCCTGTTTTACCTAAGGAATTCATTGATTCTAAATGAATGTTTAAATATTAGACAGTGAACAGTTCTATTATACTATATTTAATACCTTGCGTTTGTTACCTCTTCTGGGGAGATTCTACAGAGCAGTTACGTTAAAATGCCAAAACAGTAAACCCACATGGGGACAACAAATGGTGCAGTGTGAGGTTGCAGAACTGGACTTAAAGGACATGCTCAAAGCAACTTGGGTTTGAATCATGACCAGTTGAATATTTTGACTAGAAATGAGGACATCCTAAATTGCTATTACCAGTCAAGATATGCATTAAAAAAATAATAATAATTTGTTAGTTACTCACTTCATACCTTTGGGACATTCTTCAACAACTTCAACAAATTTATATTAAAACCTACAAATGACTTTTTTTGTTCCCAGGGTTTGTTGGAGAAGGCTGCAAAGCTTGCAGCAATACCACAGACAAGTTAAGGCATGAGCACTGACACACTTAGGAGTCTACAGAAAATGCCCCGGTCCAAAGGGCTAAAAAGGATGTACTTCACAATGGATACAGCTTTGAGTGTAGAAAAAAATATATACATGTTTTTTATTTCCTTCTTTACTCTTAAAAGCTAGCCTTGTGGTCCAGTTTGTGCCATGAACATCTTTTGAAGTCTACAAACTCAGACTATGGGCCAATGAATCAAAATAGCTGAAAACAGAGACAGCAGTAGGACTGCATTCCATTTCCTGTAACCATACACCACAGATCCACAGATCGCACACAATATCAAGAATGATAATGAATAAATAAATGAATGAAAATTAATAATAATAATAATAACAATAATAAAGAATGAGCATTAATTAAATTTTTGTAAAGCATTTTACTCAAAGTGTATACCAAATATTCAGAGAATATATGTTTAATAAGGGTAGAAGTAAAAACTAATTGATTACCAAGACAGTGTTGCAGATCGTTTTCAGCTCCTCCTCCACTTTCTCCTGATACTCCTTGACCAGCTTGTGTTTCGTCTCGCTCGGGTCTGTTTTGGAGTAAATGCTGGACAGCATCCTCCATGCAGACCGCCTCGCCCCGACCACGTTTTTGTACGCCACCGACAGCAGGTTCCTGTGCTCTATTGACAGTTTTTCGCCCTTCTGTGTGACGGTCTTCATGCAATCAGCCATGTCGTCATAGCGCTCAGCTTGCTCTGCCAGCTTGGCCCTCTGGATGAGCTCTTCGTTTTCCATTGTTTAAACTGATTTCTGGACGGGACAAAGAAAAATTTGAATTTTTCTCGAATTTCTGTAGATCTGGAGAGGGGACGCTGGTCTGAACGACAGCAAAAAATTAACCTGCGGAAAAGGGTAGGCGTGTGAAATACCACATGAAGAACGTCGTGTACGGTTAAGAAATTGAGATTTCGCTAAACTACTAAAAACGACAGCGTTTACCCGCGGACAGTACTCACTTAATGGAACTAACAACAAATTATAACACAATCAGCCATTCGTGTAAAACACCCGCTGGAGTTCACGCTGAGCCCCGCCACAAAGCAGTCTGGAGGGGCTAACTAGCTAGGTAACGCTAGCATGAGCGAAATTTAGCTTTAGCGAGCTACACTGGCCACTCCTTTCTATTCAACTCGACCATGAGCACTACTCCTACACTTACAAAGCGTTTGGGAGGCTACTCTTTTCTCCGCCGTGCACATCTACAACACAGTATCAAAATCAATCGACAGAATGGTTCCTACCTGCCAAATTTCAATTTGCTTCACGAATTGATACGGCTTGAAAGGTTAACCAGAGGAGCAGAAACGGCGGTGAAAAACCACCTAAACTTGCTAAGATGGAGCAGTCGAGCCGAGGGGCTGCTCTCCAATTGTAAATCTTTCTGAGTATTGATTGACAGTAAGGTTCGAGCGTACAGACCAATCGTGGCCCTGCCCTGGCAGAGTGGGCGGGCCTTGTGTGTAGGTTTGATGAGTGCGCTGCAGTGACCGCACAGCGTCACCACACGGCCGTGCGGAGCGGCAGCCAATCAGCTTGCGCTTTTGGTCGTGATTTTCACACGCTGTAGGCTCTGGTCCGCGTGGTAGGCGGGCGTGGCACTCTACGGTTTTATGCTGTATACACTGATCTATAATGTGACTTTGTAATACATTAATGGTTATATTTTATAAAGGGATTTAGTTTAACTATGAGCTACAAACGCTAGGTTAGGCTAGGTTCACACACTATACTCTGAGGAAACCTATATAGCCCCAGCCTATGCTTGTTCTGTGAGCTTGATCTCTATCAAACCCCTTAATCAAGGGGACACAGTATGTCAAATTTACGTCTATGAAATTTTAGCCATATTATAATAGTTTCCCCTCACTATGTGCTTACTCAAAGTTGCATTTGAATTCATTCATGCATGAGTTCATTGTCTTTCATTTGAGAAAATTAAAATCCCAAAAATATGTGTTTTCATCCACCTGCACACAGCTTTGTACTCATGACTTCTTTTTTTTTTAAGTACACTACAGGTCAGATAGTCTCTAAATATTTTTCACCAATAAAACATGTACAGTTAAATGAAAATGTACTGCTTCCTATAAAATGTAATGCCAATACTTTTTGGTCACAATGAAGAGTTCAACAGTTTTGAACAGAAAGTAAATGGACCTTTTTTTAGTAGACATTTTAGATCAAAATAAACTAAATGTAAAACAATAGGAAAAGGATATCTGCATATGTTATAGTTTAATTCTAAATCCAGAAAAAAACATGTCTTTGAAACCATTAGTTTTGCTCATTATTCCAAAATAATCTTTAATGTTGACCTATCAAGGAAGACTAGGCTAACCACAAAGCTTTCTTAAGACACAGATGTTCTATAAATCAATGTTGCCTGTATAGCCTATTATTAAAAATGATGCACTCCTCTATTTGTTGTTCTCTCTGACTCACTCAACTTCAGTCATGGTGTAGTAGGGGCACAC